ATTTTCATTTCATTTTATTTATTGATTATTAAATTATGAATAAAAATTGCAAAGCAATATTAGTCCAAAGACTTTTGCAACGTACTGTAATACATATACAACTTATAAATTATTTAATAATTGAATAAATTCGAATTTATTAATAAAAGATTTAATTTAACTTAAATTATATAATACTTAAATAAATTAATAAATACATATTATTGATCTAATTATAAATTCTTATTTAAAAAAAAAAAACCTCCCTCAATAATAAATTAATCTATTATAATTATAATGTATTAAAAATTAGAATAAAAAAAAATCTTATAATATTTTAAAAAATTTGAAATTTTAAAATTAGTAATATTTTCATTAACTATTCTTAATATTATAGTAATAGAAATTACCTTGACTAGTTCTTATATTTTAAATATTTCTATTATATTAACGTAAGTGTGTATTTATTTATTTATTTATTTGTAGTATTCATTAATATACAGTATGTATACTGTAAATAGTGTGTGTATATGATTTTTATAAATAGATTCATTAGCTGCATCATAAAGTCAGGTGAATTTATTTTTTTTATTAGAAAAAAAAAAAAATGATTGTGCCTAGTATATATTTTTTTCTAAAAAAAATTAAGATAATCTAAAGTTACAAACAAATAATCGACATTAGTTTAGTGACAATATTTGTCGAATGTTTGTGAAATTTTGCTCAGCAGCGCTCAAGAAAGAAAAAAGAATTAATCCCGAAACCATAGAAATGCACGTTAATTAATACGACGAATTTACACGAATTTACATACTTACACATCATAAATTTCTGATTCATTTGATTCATTTAAAGTTCGGTTCATCTTTCCAAAAATCATACCATTTATCTATCAAATCATTAAGCTACAAATTACGTAATTGAAAAATTTTGCATGATTCTTGAAACTAATAAATAATTCTAAAATAATCTTCCCATACTAAACAATGTCAAATGCCAGAAAAGTCACCCGGAACTTTGTTACGCGTAAGGGCTCCAAAACTTATGTGAATCAAAATAATTCACCTCTTTACACAAGGCACAGCCTCGATTCTCATTGTTGAGGAGGCAAATTTGAGAATGTCACAGTAGCAACGCAACAAACAACTCCTCATGAATTAAATTATGCACATCGAGAAATTTCGAACATAAAGATCAGACCAAAGGATTCAGGCGATTGGCCGGCACATAAAACAGAAAAGGCTGTCGAGAGCACATACCAAGAAGCTAATGATAATCTCACGGAACGTGGCAAAACATGCAAAACATGGCAATGAATATCCCGCTTCGATGATCGTCTTTGCCATTTGTAACTTTTGAGACACCTTGTGGCATTCACGGTACATGCTTGTGTTTCGGCTAAACATCTGGGTTACCCTGAATTCCATTTCTAGCAAATGCAAGGCATCCAGCCCATTGCTTTGGCTGGAGAACTTTCGGATTTATCAATTAGCAAATAAGTTTTACCGCTTTTCTAAATGTTTGCTACTACAAGTTTGGCTACACATAATTGATGCCCATAAAAGAAAGTGTAATTGCGGACATATCCCTTACCAACGCACGCAGGTTTTCCCTCCAAACTTTTTTTCTTCCCTTTCCTGTATCTATCTCCTTTCCGTTTTTCCGTAGTGCGTATAGTGTGCGATATCGTACAACGGTTTTTACTTTCTTTTATTATCTAAAGTTCCTTTAAAAAGGACAGAACTCTCCTTTTTCAAGTATCTTTTTTATGCGTTGTTGTGGACTATTGCTTTATTTGTAATAATAGTTCGACGAACATATATCTCCACTCTTTACTTTCTTTCAGGCTTCGTGACTTCTCTTTTTTATTTTTCTTCCTTTTTTTTTTTTTTCTTATCCTTCAATCTTTTTTATTAACGTTAGTCTCTCTGAGGTATTTATTCGACATCTTTGGTTTCACCTATTTTACGTATTTATGCAGACAATACCTGACAGTACTTTTAACTTATTTTCAACCTCATTCTAACGGACCAACCATTTATTTTTTTCCCCGATTGCACTTTTGCTCACAGGCTTTTTAATCATCTAAGGTCCGAAGAGGTCCGTAAATTACTTTTAACTAGATTTAAACTAAGGTTGGTGTAATCCTGTTTGAAGCGAAGTATTTTACCTTTTAGGAAAAAATTTTTTTTTTTTTGTTTTCCTCTCTTGTCGCTTATTCGATTATATTGTATTTGTTGTTTTAGATCTTTGTCTAAACATCCAGACCGCACTTCATTATTACCCGCTTCTCCTACACTTCCTAACCATCTTACGTAAATTTCTTTATAGAAATATATAAAAATAAATCATGTATGCACAGAGGAATCCAACTTCGGATACCCTACTCACTCAAGCTTTTCATCCACCGTCGGCTGAGGATCAGTATGCCCCTCAAAGTTTTCTTGAAGAACAGCAACAGCAACAACAGCAACAGCAACAACTCGAGATCCATCAACGACTTAATCCTTCTAATATTGTTCAAATTGATAATACAAATAGTTTTGCTTTTCAGACCTTCGATGATAACAACATCCTCGGAACTTCTTTGCCTGCAGATTGGGCTCAACTCTGTGGGAGCGAGGATATGTGTGATTTAGTGGATAGCTCTAATTATCCTGGCGGTGTCTTCGTTAGCGGTCTCATGTCGCCGAATTTTGATGGTTCGTGGATGCTCGGTCAGACAGAGCAACAGTCTCTACAACTAGGTCAAGGTCAGCAACAAGAGGTACAGCAGGTTCATACACCGCAGTCACTATCGCTGTCCAATTCGCCTTCCGACAATGAGTCCAACATATCGTCGAATCCCGATGACCAAATTCGAGCTCAAACCCCTGGCCCTTTGCACAAAACCATTATACCAAATTACCTGACCATTCGACGTAGAAGTTTATCCGCCGACAACATACACGCATTGGCAAAAGCACAACAACAGGTGGCTAACCGCAAGGTCCTATACCCTGCCCAACAACACACAGAACAGATTTCATTCGATAGAACCGGTTTACCCAAGTCCACGGTTTCTCCTTCGACCATGAGTTTTGAACAAATGCAATTTTTCCAAAACACAAAACAACAGGGTGTCCCGATGCAAGATGCCTGTGTCGTCAAAGTCGAAAATCAAAATGGCAACCAAATCAGTAGTAATGATAGTAACGAATGTGATCCTAGTGGTCTTCATCAACAGAATAATTCTCGAACTTCAAGCCCTTCACTACAGACCGCCGCAACCGCTCCCGTCACTCACCGCCCTCACTTGTCCAGATCCGTGTCGCACCAACAGATCGGTCCCATCAACCATGTGCAAAGACGCAACGAACTACAAGCCAGATTTAAGGTTAAACTCGACAAGAGGAATCAAAGGAGCATGCCTAATATTCAACTGGCGGCTGCAGCCCATGGCTCCATGATTCAATCATCAAGTTCGGTCCCTCTGAAAACGAACTCGTCCGGTGGATCGGTTTCCGGCGCTGTGCCAATAATGGAGATCTCATCATTGTCCACACCCACCACGCCAACTTTCCCCAACGAGAAGGTTGGTGCCGCTAAACCGACGCAAACGCTCGCCCCTCCACCACGTCGTGGTCACATGCGCAAAAGATCATTGTCTGCACCCACGGCACCATTTCCAAATATTGCACAACCATTGCCAACCACCGTCTCCTTGCAATCAACTACAACGTTTCCACTCAATATGTATAACCGCAGCAGACCTAACGCTCTGCCCATTCAAATCCAACGGAACCCTAAGCACTCTCACACCACCACTACAATGTCTTCAGAAGAATATCAACGCAAGTTGGATGAAGAGCTCGAAAAGGTCGACTTCGACGACATCACCGTGAGTGAGCTCAAGGAGATGCTACGCCAGAGAGGGAAACCTGCAACTGGTAAAAAAGCAGTCTTGATGCAAAGACTTCAAGAGGAAGTGGAGTATGTCAAGGCCATGAAAAACAATGGTAATCAACAGCTCAAGAACAATAACACTCAATTTTCTCAGATGGTATCATCACCAACTTCTCCATCTGGAGTCTCATTGCAGAGAAGCATTGCGAATTTGCACATATCCAGTCCGCCCACCCATTCTAGACGCTTTAGTCCATATGGAAGCGTCAGCATTCCAGGCAGTCCCAGGATGATGCCCAGCGGGCTGGGTAATGGGCGATCTGGTTTCAGTGGAGGAAATGTTACATATTCGGAAGGAGAGGAATGGCAATATAACATTGGAATGCAGCCATTAATGTCGCACAATATAGATGAACAATCACATTCGATGATGATGATGGGACCACAATCGCAGCAGTCTCAAGATATGTACGGACAGCAACCTTCATCTGCACCACCCACGACCACGGAATTTGGTCCGACGTTCCAACAACCGTCGTCTTCCGCCTCGTCGATGGCCACTGAATTCGTCGATTTCATGAACCCCATATCTATGAATTTGATGTCAATAGGACCCGATATGATGAGACTTAATGTTTCCGACTCTGATGAATCGTTACTCAAAGAGACGGATACAGAGAATAAATCTGGTGGAAATTCGACGGATCCGTTAGTTTCATCGACGTCAAATGATGCCGTAACCGGGATGCTTGCACAACAGACATTGGAATTCGGCTTTAATTCGCAACATCAACTACAAGGTGAACACATGATGATAAAGTCCGAAGGTTCGTATTATCACAAAAAAATCTATCGACGAAAGGCCGAGTTGTTAAATTAATCGTTACTCTTTTTTTTTTGTTGCGTACATTTAGATTTCCTCAACTATTCACCGATGTCCGCTCAACATATACCGATGCAACTCGAGCTTCAGCAACAAGATGGAATGTCATTTGGCGGGTGGTGAACGCACTCTAAGATAGGCTGGAACCTCGTTGAAAAAAAATTTCCAATAACAAATTTTTTTTTGGCATAATGCATTATTGGATTCTCTAATATTTATTAATTTATATATATCATGCTACACATTGGCAGACAAGCTACTCAAGTATATCGTATTATATTAGTATATTACTCCTGTATTTTAACTGGTGATTTTTAGTTTTGTGAATTTTTTAAAATTGTATTTTGAAATCTGCTTTTTTTTTTTTTTCTTGATTGTTTTTGGTTTCTGTTGCTCTTTCACGATTTATCATTTAGATTGAACGGAATATCATTAATTACCTAACCAATCTACCGGCTGACATGGTGATACCAAAGATATCGTGATTTTTTTTTTCCCCTTCCAATGGTTAGGCCATCGTATGAGAGTCGTGTATCTATCTTTCTCGACCTTCGCATTTTTCACGTCACATCTAGCTCGCACCATCACACACGTACACACACACACACACACATTTACAACTCAAAATTGCGCCCTTTTTTTTTTTTAATTCTTCCCCTTTTCTTCTTCTTTATTTTTAAATTTCTTTTATTTTTTTTTCTCGTTCAAAAAAAAAAAAAAAAAAAAATTCCCTTGTTTTTTTTTGTAGTATAGTTTTTTTCCCTTTCCCCTGTTAAAAAACAATCAATTCTTCCCGGTCCGTTTAAATTACGCAAAATAGATACACAATTTTTTCTTCCTCTTTCAAAAATCTTATTGTAGTTAGTCAAAAAAAAAAAAAAAAAAGGAGGTGAAAAACAAAAAGATATGTGCGATTTTTTTTTTTAAAAAAAGTAAACCAAAAACTAAAAAATTCAGAAACTTTCTCGATCGCCTCATTTTTCATGTGGAGTTGATTAATTGCGACGTGTGTTGAGTCAACACGTTGGTCTCTTTCTTCTTTCGATTCTCCTGGGAAGCGAGAGAGGATGGAATTTCTGTATTTTCTTTTTTTACATATATTATCTATATATTGAATTATTAATAATAAACATATATATATATATATATATTATTATTATTTTTATTTGTTTTTTTTTTAATAAGATAAATATATACGCATTACTACGATTAATTTTATTATTCTTTTTTTAATTTAGATATTAGGGAGGGAGGTATGAATTTATAGCTTAGTTTAATTTATTCGAGAATTTAATATGGCATCTTTTTATCTAATCATAGTTTTTTTTTTTTTAGAAAACTTCCTTTTTTAATATGAATTCTTTGTCTAATTTCTTATATACTATATAATAATATACTCTATCCTAATTTAGTTTATAGTAACATGATTGAACTTAAGTGTTAGTAATATTATTAGTATCATAAATGGGCATTTATGTGCGTGCGCGAAAAAGTACAAGTCCAGAAAAGATTGTACATTAGTGTGCAGTACGGCCTATTATTTATTTATGTTTTTATATAAATTTCAACTAATTTAAAATAAAGGATCAGTTTGCAATTCTTTTGCTTCTTGATACACAGTTCCCCGATATCAATTAATGTATTACCACATTCTCACATTCTTTTCCGATTCCTAAGATGGCTAATCGCAAGACCAACCCGAGGAAAAATCTCGCGGCTGTGTTACCTGATTCATTGTGTTCGTGTCCTTGTGATTTGAGATCAAAAATGGGTGCACAATTGTTCCATTGGCAGCACATATTAGTATATAGAATCATTGCTCAGTCCTTTTTCGCTATAAAGAATATAAAAATGTTCGTAAAAAAAATCCCGAACCATTTATAAATATATATATTATAATAATTCTCAATTCGTTTGAGACGAAAAAAAAAAGTATTGTAGACTTGACTTAAAGTATTTTTTTAAATTATGTATCTATAAAAATGGGTTAATTAAAATTTTTACTATGGTTATATGGCATTGATTGATTTATCCTTGAAAGTCCAGGTGATATTATAGAGTAAATATCCTATTTATTTATTTAAATGAGTATTGAGTTTTCTTTTGAATAGTTCTTTTATTCAAGATAACTTTAACTTTTTTAAAAAGAGAAGTTAACTAAAAATATTATATTGTTTTAAACTTTAAGCAACAGCAAATTACTAAATATAGATTTTTTTTTTTTTTTTAACTGACTCATCCTTGTTTTATTTGTGAAAAAGATTCATTGTGTACATATTATTATGCATTTACAATTTTTATGTCTTTCTAAAATACAAATTCAACTATCTAAAGATGGATTTATTCTTCTTACTGATCGGCTTGTTGCCACCCACTGCGGAGACTAACATGCTAAGGATTGTTAATTAGTGTTGAAATTAGAAGAGAAAGAAAAGAAAAAAATTGTGAAAGAGTTTGTGATTCCTTTAAATGGCCAATCTATATAGTGATTAATCAAGTTTACGTATTGATCTTTGATTAGTAGTTCAGATAATATGGCATCTGGTAGTGATTGTACTTGAGTATGGCTTTTAGAATGTTTGTCTTTTTTGGTGATGTTGTTTGTCGTTTCCCATTCTATAGTGTGTTTACATCGCTCTTTCCATATTGAGTGTAGGAATTCTCTATATTGATTCATACACTTTTGAAGTATAGGTTGTAATGTTGTATATGAGTCAGTGTAGTTGTTGATTGCAAAGGTAATACTTTTTCTAATGATGCCTTTGATGAGATCTAAGATCACTTGGTCAGATTTGTTAAAAGACATGTCCCTTATTATGTGATGAAGAGGAGTAGTGGTAGCAGATGCTTTGCAGTCTTTCATATTAAGTGTGAAGATACTTATTAGTTTTCGCCTGTGTGTTTCCCATGTTGTGATGCATAAGAAAACATGGGAAGTAGTTTCTGTTTCGTGACATTTAGTGCACTCTTTGTTTCTATATAAGTGTGGTTTGCATCAGTTCAGTTTAATCATGGTGGGTAGTTTATCATTCCAAAGGTTGATTGCAAATTTTTGAGTGCTGTGGTTAGTTGTAGATGTGTTTCCATGATTAATATTACTGGGGTTGAGGCAGTTGAAGGTGTTTTACCAGTCTATTATTTTGTTTTTTTCTGTATGGATTCATGTTTTATTTCTTCTGAAGAGTCTTTATTGGGCTAGATGTTTGATGTGAAATATTGTTTTGCAGAAATTTTTAATTGGCATGTCTATTATGTTGTGTTTTCATGTGGTATAACATAGGTAGGTTGTTTTGTGAATTGATAGTGGAATTAAGTTCTCTTTATCCTGACATCATGTTAATGTAATTGATTTTTACCAGTTGATCAGCGGTTTTATTGCCTGGGATGCCTATGTGTGCTTTTACTTTGTGTAGGGAGGGTTGGATTCGATAGTCCTTGCATCTTTGCATAATGTTAAGTGTAATGCTCCAATTCCTAGTGTTTCTAATGGCTTTGTAGACTGGAGTATGTGTGGTTTTGTTTATTGTATTGATAGCTACTTGACTATCTGTATGGACTGCAATTGTAGCATTTCTGGGAATTGTTAAGATTACTGTGAAGATTGCCATTAGCTTTGCCCTGGTTGAAGATGGTAAGCCTTGTACCTATCCTTTAAATGTGTGATGTTGGTTTAGTTGATTAGTGAGGATCCAGCCAAATACCATGTGGGTAAAGATATTGAAGTGGTTCAGGGATTCATCAGTGTATGCTGTGAATTGGTAGTGTTGTTTATTTGCTGTAGAAATGTTGAGAAGCTCTTGAAATAGTTTAGTGTCTCCTGTGATTTGGTTTAGTAAGGTGGTGAGTTTGTCTTGCTGGTGGTAGATGTATACTTGGACTAAAGGAGATTGTGTTGTTCTATTTATGTTTATATATTCTATAATATGTTGGGTGCTATATGCTGAGATCTGAACTCTCCAGTGTGAGCTGTTGTTTAATGTATTGCTAAGACTTTTGTAACTGTATATGACTGGAATTTGTTGTATCTCAAATTTTGTTCTAGAGAAGACGCATTGCTGTGTTTGTATGGAGGATTCGTTGACTAAATATTCACTGCAAAGTTCAAGTGGTGAGTTTCTTGCTATATGCTTATAGTGTGTATAGACTATCTTTTCCTGTGTGTTTCTTTGTTTTCTATCAATTGTTTCAGCATTCCTGTTCATTACTAAGGTCCAATGCTTGATTAACAAGTTTAGATATATGAGTTGTTGTATAGTTTCTGCTAGATTTGTGAACCATCCTGGGATATGTGTAATGTGTTTCTTGTGGTATTTTAGGATACGATTCCAAGGCAGGATTCTAGTGCAATCTTCATTAATGATTTGACAATGAATATGATATTGTATTTTTGTAGTTGTTTTTTAAGTGTATTTGTCCATTTAATATTGAGGTGTTCTTCTATGGTATCTTCCATTTTTTTATTAGTGTGATGGATTTGGACTGTTGAAGTGATATGCCAACTTGTTTGAGTAGCCAGATGATGTCGTGAGTGAGGTTCGTACCTGGTTTGTGAATTGCCTTACTTAAATGAGTACAGATTGAATTGGGGGACCATAAGTCGTTTTGTAGCTGTTGAAGTCTAAACAATATTATTTGTCCTGCTAGGTTAGGTTTGTTGATTCTAGAGATGAGATTTGTTGCATGGAATTGTACTTGTCTTTCAAAGAAGTTAATAATGTTGTATTCAAATTTGTTGAAAAGCATATTGTTTGGGACTGATTTTGTTAAGCCAACTTTGTGTTTAAAGCATTAATAGCATTTCGACATGATTTTATTGCACATTGTTTCTGAGAGTACCATGTCAGTTAGGAGGTATTCTAGGGCTGGAATTAGAACGTAGTTAATGATGTATCTTGCTTGTTTGTCTGTGATCTTTTTGAATTTCATAAGATTTGCTATTCTGTTGACTTTTTTTTTCATTAGTTGTATTTGGTGTCATTTGTTGCCTTTGGACATGTACCATATTCCTAGAATTCTAGTTGATATGTTTGATGTGAGTCCTTGGATGATCTGATTGTTGAATGTGACTCCTTGGGTTCTGTTTAATTGTATGCCATTAATAATGAGTAGTATAGATTTTGTTGGGTTAATCTGGATGTTATTGATGGTATAGAATTCTTATGCAGTGTCTAATATTTGTTGAAGATCTTGTTGATTATTTGCGAACCATGTTGTGTCATCCATGTATGCACTGGCAGTAATATCCATGTAGTCGATGGCCCAGTCTGTTCTGATGTCTGAGCAGCTTTGTGATGTGATAGTATAGCCTTTGCATTTTCGAATATTGTAGTGAGAAGAGGATTATAAAAGATTCTCCACAGAAGTGAGGATATGGTGTCACCTTGATCAATATTGTCTTTCACTTCGTAGGAATCTGTAGGGTCAAAAGAGGTGAGTACTGTGTTTTGTCGATGTTGAAGCAGGTTGGTGATTATATCTATAATCTTTGTTGGAACTTTGATTCTGTGTAGTGATTTTTGAAGTATTTGTATGGATACTGAGTCATATGCTTTGCTTATATTCTGACTCAATATCCATGCCTATTGAGAGTTTTGCTTGGCATGTTCAATAATGCTTTGTATGATGTGAATGAGTTCTTGTGTGCTGCATCCAGGAAGGGCTGCCCAGTTGTGTGGTGATAGAATAGGAAATTGTTGAAGAATTTTTGTAAACCTGTCATTGATGTATTTTGTGAAAATTTTTCAATAGGTTTTCAACAATGTTATAGGTCTAATAATGCTGATATCATTGTTCCAGGGCTTTGGTTTTGGGATTGAATAAATTGTGACTTTTTTTCATTCAGTAGGAATTGTATCTATGTATAGGATTTTGTTGAAGAGATCTGTTATGAATTGAATTGCTTGAGATCCTAAATTTTTGTATGCAATATATAGAATTTGTGAAGGACTGAGTGCAGAGACATTGTTTCTGGATTTAATGACCAGTTGAACTTCAGTGTTTGTGAAGAGTACGCGCATGTCAGAGTACCAGTGGTTTTCAATATTTTGTTTGGGCATATGCTTCTATCCATTGTGATCAGTTTTGGATGTTGTGTGTATCTCTTTTCTTTGTCCATTTTATAAAGTAATCCTTTGCAATTTGTTTTATTTGTGTTGGATCTGTAGTGATGGTAATTGAGGGTTCTGTTGTGATCAGTTTGTCGAGGATGATGTGACACTGTGGTCTGTTTATTATTGAATTTATCATGGCTTTTTTGTTAGATGCCATGAAGTCCGTCTTTTTGTCGATTGCGCGTTTTATTTTTTGTCTTGTTCTATAGTTGTTTATTATTTGTAGTGCAGCCTTGAGTTGTTGGATTGTCTGTGTTAACTTTGTATGCCATGCTAAGAGTGTTGATGTATACTTTTGTATGTTCCATATTGGAGGAAATGAGATATAATGGTGTTTGTCTAGAAGCTTCTTTGCTTGTTGATACTGGAAATCCCATTTTTCTAGTGTTGGATTAGTTATTGTTTTTTGACAAGTTTGAAGAAGTTGTTAAAGGGCCATAATTTTTGCCGGTAATCAGATAGGAGAAGGTTGGTTAGTCAGGTTGCACTTTCTATTTTTAAAATTTTTGATAAATTTGTGTGCTACTTTTAGGATGGTGTCTCTAATAAGATTCCATTGTGTATCAATGCTTTGTTTGTTTGTTTATTGAGTTGTAATTCTGTGTTTTACTTCTGATTGAAATTTTTCCCAGCTTTTGCATGATGTGTGGATCCAATTAAATCTGTAATTTTTGTTGTTGTGTATTAAC